TATTTGACCTATTGAACCTATTATTGACTCCTGATGTTACAAGAGCCATACAGTATTCCAAAATTTGACCTATTGAACATATTTCTGGCCAAAGAGTCCTTGAACTTGAACATTATATAGATACTCATATCTCCTTATGATTTTTCATATAGACTATTCTGATGTTTCATCAGTAGATCAATTTTGACCTTTTGAACATATTTCTGGCCAAAGTGTCATTGAATTTGAACTTTCTATAGATACCCATAGACTACATTTGAGGTTTCATCATCCAGACAGTAGTCCATATGTGACATATTGAACCCATTATTGAGTCTTTATGTTACAAGAGCAATACAGTATTCCAAAATTTGACCTATTGAACAGATTTCTGGCCAAAGAGTCTTTGAACTTGAACATTATATAGAAACTCATATCTCCTTCTGATTTTCCATATGGACTGTTCTGATGTTTCATCAGTAATTCAAATTTGACCTATTGAACATATTTCTCGCTAAAGAGTCATTAAACGGCTATCTGACTATTTGATCTCATAAACTTCTTTTGATGTTACAGCAACCATAGATTAGATCTTATGTGACCTATTGAAGACATTTCTGGCCAAAGAGTCCTCGATATTGAACTTTCTATAGATACTCATAGACTACTTTTGAGGTTTCATAAGCCAGACAGTAGTCCATATGTGACATATTGAACCCATTGTTGAGTTCTTATGTTACAAGAGCCATACTGTATTCCAAAATTTGACATATTGAACATATTTCTGGCTAAAGAGTCATCAAAGGGCTATCTGACTATATGATCTCATAAACTTCTTTTGATGTTACAGCAACCAAATATGACTGCATATTTGACCTTTTGAACACATTTCTGGCCAGAGAGTCCTTGAATTTTAACTTTCTATTCATATTTATACATATACATATTTATAGTTGAAATTTAACCTTTTGAACATATTTCTGGCCCAGGATTCATCAAAGGCTTTCTTACTACTATGCGTTCTCATGAGCTTCTTTGATGTTACATGAACCTTAGTTGACCATAGACCATAGACCATTGGACATCAACTTGACATTCAAGTTCAAGGACTCTTTTGCTAGAAAAATGTTCAATAGGTCAAATATGGACTATTATCTGGCTAATAAAACATCAGAAGGGGTCAATATGTTTAGAAAGTTCAAGTTCATAGATTATACTGCCAGAAATATGTTCAATAGGTCAAATATGGACTACAATCTGGCTGATGAAACATCAGAACAAATCGTCTCGGGTTACGTCTGTAACCCTCATTCCCTGAGAAGGGAACGAACGCTGCGTCGAAAATCGACACTACGGGGAATGCCCTTAGCATGACGCGTCTGAAGCCTGAATAGAACTAGTCCAATCCTGATTGGTGCTGCGTGATGACGTCAGCCGTGACGTCGTAGGTGACGGTGAGCGGAACTATAAAACGGGCGCCGGAACCCGGAAGCGGCAGCTTTAAATAGTCCGAAGCAAGTCGTCTCTAGGGGCGCGAAGAGTGTGGCCGAGGGACGCAGCGTTTGTTCCCTTCTCAGGGAACGAGGGTTACAGACGTAACCCGAGACGTTCCCTTCCGAGGGAACTCCGCTGCGTCGAAAATCGACACTACGGGGAACGCAATGCCCACTGCGCCACACTAAGAGAGTACGCCCTGGTGTGAAGCAATCTGGCACACTCAAGACGAGAGAACCTGTGAACCCGGTGTAGAGGTCAGATCCAGACTGTAATGTCTTATAAACGTGTGAGGGGAGGCCCAGCCTGCGGCATCACAGACCTCCTGAAGGGAAACACCCGCAAGAAGGGCTTTAGAGGAAGCCACTCCTCTCGTGGAGTGGGCCTTAAGCAGAAGAGGTGAAGGCAGGTTGCGCACCTCGTAAGCTGCCGAAATAGCCTCTACAATCCATCTACTTATAGTCAGTTTGGAAGCAGGAGAACCCTTTTTAGGCGCCCCAAAGCACACAAAGAGCTGGTCCGACTTTCTCCAGCCTGAGGATCTCTGCATATAGACCTCCAGGGCTCGGACCGGGCACAGTAAATGAAGGTTAGCTTGCTCAACCGACACATGGGGTGGAGGATGAAAAGCCTGGAGGATAATAGACCGTGCCACATTTGAGTGCACTTTAGGGACATAGCCCGGTCTAGGATGGAGAATAGCCTTTACTTTGCCGGGAGAGAACTCGAGGCAAGAAGGAGCGACCGATAGAGCCTGTAAGTCCCCAACTCTTTTAAGGGACGTGATGGCAAGCAGGAATGCTACCTTAAAAGACAAAAAAATTTCCGACACCTCACCCAGAGGTTCGAAGGGCGCCAGGGATAACCCTTCGAGGACCACTGTTAAGTCCCACGAAGGAACTCTGGACTGGGTGACAGGCCTCATCCTCCTTGCTCCACGAAGGAAACGAACAATAAGAGGGTGCCTCCCCAAGGTGCCCACCCCTAAAGGCGTGTGGAAGGCAGCCACGGCCGCCACATAGACCTTAAGCGTGGACGGGGAGAGCCCGTCAGAGAAGCGGTTTTGAAGGAACTCCAGCACTGAAGCCACTGGGCAGTTAACTGGGTCCAAAGAGTGATCTCTACACCATAAAGAGAACACATTCCACTTCAAAGCATATAGTTTCCTCGTGGAGGGGGCTCTAGAGTTTAGAATGGTCTCAAGCAGAGCCGTTAAATATGAGAGTTGCGACACACTTTGATCTCGCCGCCACGCGGTCACGTGGTTTGTGTAGCTCTCAATAGTTCCAAACAGAGCCGCGCTGTCATCCAGTTTGAATGATTTTAAGCGGGACAGACAGCAGCAGCTATATTTGCAGCAATTATAGGTAAATATTGACGCATAATGTACATTGATTATTATGTTGACGCTTACTTTAAATACATATAATAGAATTTTTTTCTGGGGAGTGACAGAAACACAGCATTAATACGTTTTTGTGTTTAATTTTGGAGGGAAACGGACTGCTCCCATAACGGAGAATGCATTAACACCAACGACTATATTTGCAGCAATTATCGGTATATATTGAGGCATAATGTAAATTGATTATTATGTTGACGCTTATATTTGCAGCAATGTTCGGTAAAATTTTAACTTCATAAAATGAAACTGGAGAGATAGTTAATGAGTGAATTAACTAACTTAGGTTCCTAAATAGGCTACGATCCATAACATGTAACGTTATGTTTTTAACATACGATCCATAACTGTTAACGGGATTCATTTCAGTATGGCTAATGTACCCCTTTATCCTTCCCTAATCATAGACTAAACCATTCAAACACCCACAAACACATGTGTACAGTACACATGTATATATATTTATATCACACATAACTAACCCTAACCCATGATACACATTATATATTGTCTTATTGTGTATGTATACACTATATATATGTGTGTGTGTGTGTGCATGTATATATATATATATATATATATGTGTGTGCATGTATATACGTACGTATGAATGCATGTGTATTTATGTATATTACACAAACACACATTTTGACATATGCATATATATACACACATAACCCTAACCCATTTAATAAATCACACATGGCACTACTGGACAGTACATTACATTCTGATGGCACTACTGGACATCTTCCGAATGCAAGGGATGATACATAATTTTGGCATAATGTGTCTTTCATCTGCTGCAGCAAGTTTCTTTCTTTACGGTCCTCAACGTTGCCAGTTTCTTTGTGGTTCTTCAAAAGAGCTTGGACAGCACATCTGGAAACCCCTGTCTGCCTTGTGTCTTGTTGTGCTCAATCTTGCCATGGTGTATGACTTTTGACAGTTAAGGGTCTTATGCAACCTTGTTAGTCAAGTTTGGCTGTTCCTCACCCAGTTGTATTAATGTTGTGTTAATGCTCATATTACTGTATATAGACAAATTTTATTTTGATGCTTTGGAAAAACATTGTTCTTGAAACTTTCATGCCAATAAAGCCCTTTGTATTGAATACATTTGTGTGTGTTTAATTTGAGTGAAGGGGGACTGATCCCATAAGGTATAATACATTTACAGTATGTACTGTATATATCTTTCTTGTGCTTCTATGGTCATAATAACCAACATCCTTATGATATGTTAAAAACATTCACATAAACATGCACATCAAGTGAATATCAATGAAAGGCAGAAGCTGCTAAGTTTAAGTCAAGAAAGAGGAAACGGTATTAAGGTTAATAGATTGAAGGACGGATTAAATACACATTGCAAACTTATGTTTCCTAAACTTATGTTATTTTGGCTATGTACTCCAGTACAGCATTTGAAATATAACAAAATATATATCTATATCCATATACAAACCACTATTGTTATTCAAATTTTTATTCTTACACAATAACATTATGGAAGAAGCTGGATGATTATTTTGCTCATCCAACAAATTATGCAATAAGGGAAAATAGTTTTTTTTTTTATTGCATGATGATACCATATATACAAAGCTCAGTCATACATTCTGTTTTTACGTTTCTATAATGTTCAGTATTTTTTATGCTGTCATAGAGGTGTATATTCAGTGTAAAAAAAAAACTATTGAGGTCATAGTTTGTGTGGGTGCTGTTGTACTTATTTACTTTATATCCAGATGTTAATAACAATTGAAAAAATAAGAAACCCCTCTGAATACAATGTAGTGCAACATCACCTTTAACTATGACCTGTTGAATTGACACATTTCTGACTGATTATAAACTTCATAAAAGCAGAATTCATGGCAAAGCCGTAGTATTGAATTACATTACATTAGATTGTAGATGTGTACCTAATAAAGTGGACACTAAGTGTATACAACCTCTTTACTGTGAGGGTGTGTCATTTTCCTGGTCCTGAAATGAACTGGCCCCTATCACAGAAGTCCAGGGAGAGACAAAGGAAAATATGTGAGGTGAAGGAACTACAGTATTGAAAGTGAAATGAGATGCGAGAAGAGAGGAGGTGCAATTGGATAGGAAGAAGTGGGAGACAGGGAGGGGTTGACTGGCACACCTTCCCTGGTAACTGATCATAACATCTAACTTTTATAGATTGATTTTCTTACCATGGTTGGCTGTGCGGCGTTTGGATGCACCAATCTGTCAGAGAAAGGGATCCGGATGTATGGCTTCCCAAAAAATACCGACAGGAGAGAGAAATGGTTAGCCCAAGTCAGCAGAAGCAACCTGACCATCACGAAGATTACAACAACAGAAAACTGTGTGCAGTAAGTTATGTTTACATAACTTCAATTGTGGATTAAGGTTTAGCATGTTTTACTGTCATATGTACAAGACTGCAATGAAATTGTGATAGACAATTATGGGGTAATATCTGGAAAGTGTGTGGAAAATAACCTCATAAGCAACTCTGCAGGCACATTTTGAGGGGGAGCAATTCTCAAGGACAAAAAAAGGCCAACTGATATTGAGAACTGATGCTGTTCCAACCATATTTGTGCATCGTCCTATGCCCAAGAGGAGGAAGGGTCCTGCCGTGAGAAGTACCACAGGACGTCCTCCAGTACATGTTCATGCAGTGACCAGTGACCACACGTATTGTCCTATAATGAACATCGGTACGAAAAATGTGAAGTCAATTTAAATAATATTTCTTATTTCAATGACTAGCTTATACACTCTACATGTAACTAACAATGCCAACATCATTTCAGACATTGAGGGAGGGAGTGAGGAAAGTGAGAGAAGGGCAAGTGAGAGAAGAGATGACAAGGAAGGTGAAGATATATCAGGAGCCAGTTTGCAGGTGTCAAGTGAGCCTGGAGCCAGTGTGCAGGTGCTAAGTGAGCCAGGAGCCAGTGTGCAGGTGGCAAGTGAGCCAGGAGCCAGTGTGCAAGACCTGAGGGAAGAGTTGGAAAGACAAAGAGATCAGACAAGAAGGGCAGAGGGAGCTCTAAAACGACAGAAAAAAAAAATGCTGTCCTATTGAAAAAAAATATAGCCATGGAAAAAAAATTTGCTACAATTTTTTCTAAAGATCAGATTAAAGCGATCAGTAAAAAGAGTAAGAGGGGCATGAGATGGGGTAACACTACAGTCAAAAAGGCCATAAAAATGCATTTTGCTACAGGCTCAACAGGCTACAGACTGCTTCAAGACATGGACATACCTCTCCCTGATATCAGAACATTGCAAAGACGACTACAGCATATAAAGATGGAACCAGGAGTGTTGGAGGATGTGTTTGACATGCTGAAGCTGAAGGTAGATGGCCTGACAGAGATGGAGAGGGAATGTGTGCTAACTCTGGATGAGATGGCAATTACACCGAGTGTGGAGCTGCACCTGGGAAGAGGGAAGCTTTATGGGGACGTGACATTACCTGGCCACACAGGAATGGCAACACATGCGTGTGTTTTTATGTTGGCAGGGACCACAACACAGTGGAAGCAAGTTGTAGCTTACCACTACAGTGGCAACTCCACTAATGGGGCAATCTACAAGCCTATCATCCTCAACATCATTGACCAGGCAGCTTCCATAGGGCTTCATGTGGTTAACGTCACCACCGACATGGGCAGCCCTAATCGGGCAATGTGGAAGGCCTTTGGGATGGATCAAAACAAAACATCAGTCCCACATCCTGCAAAACCAGACAGGAGGTTATACTTCATGCCAGACGTCCCACACCTGGTTAAGAACTTGAAGAGCGCTCTGGTCCGTGGACAGACGTTTACGATTCCTCCAGATATGGTAGAGAAGGAGAACCTAGTCTTCAATGAGGTTTCAATTGGTCCACTAAAAGATTTGGTAGATTTTCAAGAGGGTATGACATTGAAAATTGCTCCAAATCTATCAAGTAAAACCCTTCAGCCCAGTCATTTTGATAAGATGAAGGTGGGCCCTGCGATGAATGTCTTTAGCAAGGCAGCAAGTGCAGGTCTGAAATACATGGTGGAGCAGGAACAAAGACCCCCTCTTACCGGACAACAGCATGGTTTCTGGAGCAGGTGGACCACTGGTTTGACATCATGTCCTCTCGCCACCCAGTAATGGCACTGAGCACACACAAAATAGAGGAGTACCAGAAGGCCATTAAGTTTCTCCAGGACACCATTCAACTCTTCCGTGGGCTGAAGATTGGACACACGGGTAGCTGGAAGCCTGTACAAACAGGAATTGTGATTGCAACATCTACAATTCTGTTAATCCAACAAGACATGCTGGCCCAGGGACACATGTTTGTGTTGACCAGCAGGTTTACCCAAGACTGTCTTGAAAACTTATTCAGCTGCATAAGACAGAGGAATCCAGTCCCGACTCCAGTAGAGTTTCACCAGGCACTGAGATCAGTATCAGTTGGGCAGTTTCTAGCGACAGTGAAATCAGGAAGTTATCAGGAGGATGACAACAGCCTTTTGGCAGACTTCCTGGACACAAAGCAGATATTTCCCAGTCCTGGCCTCAGAGTGGAGGTGCTGATGGAGCCCAGAGCTGCTCCTAACCTCACAAAAACTGAGACCAGTGCTCTCTACCATCTTACAGGCTACATTGTGAATAAAGTCATCAAATATTCCAAAATTTGTGATAATTGCCAAAGTGCAATTAAGCACAGTGATGGCAGTCCAGAAGGAAAGCACAGTGCTTTGCTGAAGCTGAAGGAGTTCAAGCCAGGTGTTCTTTGTCGGCTGTCACAAGAGGCCTTCGATGTAGTCCGGCAAATCGAAGAGCTGTTCCGAACCAGGACCAATGCCTCCTTCATGGATCCAAATGCCATGGATATGCTGGAGAGAGAGAGTAGGCTTTTGGACAGCAGGCTTCCTTCATGCCATGATCTGCAAAATAAAATAACCAAGAGATACATCAGGCTGAGGTTGAGAATTGCAGCAAAGCAGATTAGTGCTCAAAGAAAAAAAATTCTGTCTGATAATGGGCATCACGGAAGCAAAAGCCAGGCGAAAAGGGCAAAAAAGAACCAGCAAGGCCAAGAAACATCTAGGCGTACAACAAGCAGGCCCCCACCAAACACCTTGATCGTTGCCATGGAGGAGTTTGGTCTGACCTTTGCTCCTACAAATGTCCCAGCACCTAGCGTGGCTTCAGCATCAATAGGTATGGAGGGTCTGTTTTGCCTTTTTTCTGGTCTCTGGTCTTATGTTTATACTAGTTTTACTGATTGTATGCTGATCATATCGTATTAATAATCCAAAATATCTGCTTCAGGAAATATGAGAAAGATGTGGTCTTGTTTGTGGTACAGTAGCTTTGGCACTTGACAATAATTTTTTTACTAATTTCAAACAATATTATATTCTATCTTACACTTACAGCCTCACCATCACTCCACCAGCTTCAGTACTCCACCATTCCAAAAGCGCCACTAACCAACTTCATCATCACTCCACTGCTTACAGGAATGGCAAGCTCCCCCAGCCTGGTCATCGCTCCACCCTCCACTGATAATCCATCCTGTTGAAAACAAACAAAACGACAACACACACATACAGTGATTGTGTATGTATGGATTTGCACATTAAATTACCTGTTCAACAGCTGGAACTTGAGACTTACATTATATAGGTATAAGTCTTGCTTTAGACTTCTCTATCACTTCCTAAAAGAGAGAAAGATAAAATTGATAATGTAAAATTAAATGTAAAAAATTAAATGTCATCCAAAAAATATATTCTGAGCTATTCTGCTTTCAGGTGTAAACATTCCTTTACACACAAGTGACTGTTAGATTAAAGTTCAATGTGTCACAAAAGCCGCAGTGTGCATGTGCTTCTTTCAGCTAAATGACAAGAGTATCATTTTACACTTTTATTTAAGTCACAGGGAGCTTTAAACATGAGGAGTTATGTTGGGCAGCTGAAATGATTCACTGTATTCTAAATAACAACTATTAAAAACACGACTTCAGTTTTTCTTGGTCAAAAGTCAGTATCCAATAGTTTCACAGCCTCTTCAATTAAAAAATATATGAAGTAATTATCTATCTCAGGGGTTTTCAAGTCTAAGACAGTGGGCCTCCCTTTTGACACAACTTACCCAATGGAGGATAGATTATATCTGCAGTTATACTTTCTTTTTACTGGGATCATTCACATCTTGTTAAGCTAGCTGCTATTCGATGCAATCAGATGCACTAATATGGTCGCAACTAAGTGTTGCTAACTTAAACAACAAATTTAATACATAAGATAAACGTTGTATGCCAACGAACTTGAAGAAAATCTGAGGTAAATGTAGCCCAACTGACATCAGGTTACGGTAAGTTAGCTAACGTAACGTTAGTGAAGTGTTGGTCACGTAAGCTATAGCTCCAATTAACCTATTATCTTCCAATAAACATTAACTAAAACTGGCTACATAAAATATAACTACTGACTAGATTCACGAGAGGTCGGCTAATGTGAGTAAAAGTAAAAAAATACAGTAATTTCATTAACTTACCCGCGAGCGTACCTCGGAAACACTGAAAATGAATGGGGCTCAATGCTGGAACTATCAGTGTTTGGAACTATTGGCTGCTCCATGACACGCGTTACTTCCGCATTCCAAAGTTCCTATGGCGGTCTATGGGAGTGTCGCAACTCTGTTTTTCAACGGCTCTGGTCTCAACAACCTCGGTTGAGAGACCTGCATTTATGAGCTGGTCCCCCTCAGGGGCCAGACCCACAGTTTCCATAGCTCTGGACGAGGGTGAAAAATTGTGCCCTCTGCTTGAGAAAGAAGGTCCCTCCTGATCGGGATTTGCCACGGAGGACCTGCTAGGAGGACCACGATGTCCGAGAACCATACTCGGGCCGGCCAGTACGGGGCTACTAGAAGTAGGCTGACTCCGTACCGCCGGACCCTCTCTAGAACCCCTGGGAGCAGAGCGATCGGGGGAAAAGCATACAGACGTAGCCTCGGCCACGTCTGTAGCATGGCATCCAGTCCCAGAGGAGCTGGATGGGTAAGGGAGTACCATAGCGGGCAGTGAGAATTCTCTCGGGAGGCAAACAGGTCCACCTCCGCCTGACCGAACTCCTTCCATATTAACTCCACCGACTCGGGGTGGAGTCTCCACTCCCCGGGCTTTAGCCCCTGCCTCGACAGGATGTCTGCTCCCAAATTGCTGTCCCCCGGGATAAACATTGCTCTGATTGACAGAAGTTTTCCCTGGGACCATAGGAGAACTTGATGCGCCAGTCTGCACAGAGGGCGCGACCTCAAGCCCCCCTGACGGTTTAAATATGAGACCACCGACATATTGTCTGTTCGCACTAGAACATGATGACCTCTGAGGTCCGAGAGGAAATGCCTGAGAGCCAGAAACACTGCCATCATCTCCAGGCAATTGATGTGCCAAGAAAGATGATGGTCCCTCCAGAGACCTCTGGTGTAGCGGCCTTCCATTACCGCACCCCAGCCTGTGAGGGATGCATCCGTGGTCAAAATTTTTCTCTGACACGGTGCTCCCAACACAGGACCCAGGGACAGGAACCACGGTTTCTTCCACATGATCAAAGAACGAAGGCATCTGCGCGTTACTTTGATCGTGCGAAAAGGGTTCCCCCTCGGGGAAAACCCTCTGGTCCTGAGCCACCACTGCAGGGCCCTCATATACAGCAGGCCAAAAGGAATAACGTTGGACGCTGCTGCAAGAAGACCCAGAACCCTTTGGAAATGTTTGACAGTGACAGCCTGGCCTAGTTTGATACTCGTTACTGTGGTCAGGATGGAGTCTATACGACCGGGAGACAGCTGTGCCCGCATCGTGACTGAGTCCCAAACCACCCCCAGAAAAGTCGTTCTCTGTAGGGGAATTAACGAACTCTTCTTGACATTGAGCCTTAACCCCAAGCACTTCAGGTGATGCAGAACAACATCTCGATGTTGAACCGCCAACTCCAGCGACTGCGCCAGTATCAGCCAGTCGTCGATGTAGTTGAGGATGCGAATGCCTTGAAGTCTCAAAGGAGCAAGAGCAGCATCCATGCACTTCGTGAAGGTGCGAGGGGACAGTGCTAGGCCGAACGGAAGAACCCTGTATTGATACACTACTCCCCCGAAAGCGAATCTCAGGAACTTCCTGTGCTGAGGAAGGATGGAGAAATGGAAGTAAGCATCCTTTAAGATCTATGGTGACAAACCAGTCCTCGGATCTGATTTGACTCACAATTAGAGGTATAGTTAACATTTTGAACCTGTATCTCCTCAGAGACCGATTCAATACCCTGAGATCTATAATCGGGCGCAACCCCCCATCCTTCTTGGGAACTATGAAGTACCGACTGTAGAACCCGGTTTCCCAATCTTGAGGAGGAACACGTTCTATGGCCTCCTTTGCCAAGAGGGACTGAACTTCCTGTTCCATGACCTGACCCTGCTCTGGTTTGACCAGCGTGTGAACCACTCCGCTGAATCGAGGTGGACGATATTCGAACTGAATTCTGTACCCCTTCTCTACTGTGAGCAGGACCCATTGAGATATATCTTGAAGACCCTTCCAGGTGTCTAGATAATCCACTAAGGGGATCAGCCTCTCGGGACTGACCTCTGGTCTTAAAATAGAAATATCGGTGACCTGAAGCATTTGACTGGCAGGAACTAACCGACTTAATTTTCCTGCAGACCTCGTGAGAGGAAACACAATGCGCGGAGCCGCAGATTTTACGGGCGGACACTGCACCTTGCATTCGCTGGAAACCGATGCGTCCCGAAGCGCACGTGGCGGCGGGCAGCATACATCGATTTCCTGAGGGCTCCGTGAAGGAGCGAGCTGTTGTTGCTCGATCACGGAGGGGACCCCCCTCAGAGGCCTGCGCAACGCATCAGGACCTCTTTGACGAAGCCTTCCTAGCCTGAATGACAGTCCTCAGATCTGCCCTCGGTTTGGAAGACTTCGTTTGAGAGTGTTGCCCCTGGCTCCAGGCCTTCTTCGGGGGAGCACGAGAGGCAACACTCTCCTTCTGCTGCTGCAGGCGTGAGGAGCTGGCGGCTACCTCATGGGACTGCCCCCTGGCAGCAGACCCATGAGACTTAGAACGACGGCGGGGGATAAGGTGTTTAAGTGCGGCTGACTGTCGTTTCGCTTCCTGGTACCTCTCGACGACAGTATTGACTGCGTCGCCGAAGAGGCCAGTATGCAAAATCGGGGCATCGAGGAGGAAAGCCCTGTCTTTATCCCCGATGCCCGACAGATTCAGCCACAGGTGTCTCTCCGTAGCTACCAATGCTGCCAGAGAACGGCCGATGGCACGGCCCGTTTCTTTGGTAGCACGGAGAGACAAGTCTACCGTACGACGCATCTCGCGAATATCGTCGTAGGCGACCTCCCCGCCGTCGTCCACCTCCTTGAGGAGGTCGGCCTGGTACGCCTGCAAAAGCCCCATAGTATGCAGGCATGCACCAGCCCGACCTGCCGCCATATAAGCTTTCCCAACCAAGGCCGAAGTGGTACGGCAGGGCTTGGAGGGAAGCGCCAGAGCTCTCAGGGACGATGCAGCATCGGGCGAGAGATGGTTTGCAAAAGCCTCTTCGACCCGCGGCATCGTCCCGTAGCCCTCTCTCTCGACGCCATAATCGATGAATATAAATGAACATCGGGACTGGAAAGTCGAGAAGAGAAAGCCTTATTCCACGATCTCGACACCTCGGTGTGGAGATCAGTGAAAAACGGGAGACTCCGGCGCGAAGGCTGTGACCGGGCTTGCAGGAAGCGCTCATCAAGTTTACTTTTTTTAGTCGCTTCCTGCACTTCTGGGGGCCAATCGATGTTTAATTTAGCCACAGCCCTGGTCACAACCTCCAGCAGCTCCTCAAAGGCAGGGGAATGTGGTGATGGAATTTCACAATCCCCTACCCCGATGCTGAGAACATCTAAATCCTCGGATTCAGATAGCTCTAGCATCGGTTCCTCTCTGCGGTCGGGAGAAGCCGCAGGGCGGGCTCCCGAACCGTGAGCAGGACCATGAGAACTGGCCGATGAATGCTGAGAAAGAGCCGAAGCTGTCTCAACATTATCAGCCAGATCTTTTTGCGATCCCCATGAATGCAAGCGCCGCGCTGCCTCGACAGACGCGGGACCTGATCCATGGGGAGCGCGAGCCTGGCCTGATTCATCAAACAGGTTTAGGCGGGAGCGGAGCGTTCTCAAGGGCAATGTTTCACAATTTGCACAGGCAGCGCCCTCAAGCGCTGCCCGAGCATGCTCCACACCCAAACAAACAACACAGAGCGAGTGTGTGTCACCCTCGCTTAAATAGCGTGGGCAAGGGGACGCACACTGTCTGAACTGTTTCACACTTTTCTCCATCACAAATACCTTGTTTTACCGAACAAACAACACCAAATCAGACAGACAGATTCACAAATAACGCTTCCTGAAGGACAGAAAGCTGCCGCTTCCGGGTTCCGGCGCCCGTTTTATAGTTCCGCTCACCGTCACCTACGACGTCACGGCTGACGTCATCACGCAGCACCAATCAGGATTGGACTAGTTCTATTCAGGCTTCAGAAGCGTCATGCTAAGGGCATTCCCCGTAGTGTCGATTTTCGACGCAGCGGAGTTCCCTCGGAAGGGAACTATATGTATAGAAAGTTCAATATCAAGCACTCTTTGGCCAGAAATGTGTTCAATGTTGATGTAACATCAAAAGAA